GTTCACAGTGAAAATATCTGCGACAGAAAACTAACTTATCCAAGCTCAAAGGTCAATTGACCGTATCGGTTACACGGCTAAATGTCAATCAAAAGGTATTTACGAAATCAAACGTCAATCAAATGCTAATTGTTCATATATTAACGGAACAATAAGGCTGACACCGTTCTCGCACAATTCTCAATCCAGGTGTACAAACGGGTACCGGCGAATTTCATGCTGCGGGTAATCCTGCGATGGACTTGCATCCCATCCAGGGGGGAGTAGAAATACTCCTAGTCTCTTCATGCTACAGAAACTGGGATAAGCTCCGGCTTGATGGGCCTCTCGATTTGTATGCAGACTTCACGTTTACCTTTCTCAAGTGTCCATGATTTTTTGGCGCAGACATTTGACTACTGAGATGAACCGACTTCGTCAACGATTTTGACGTCGTGCCGTCCCCCCGTTTCATTTCTAGGGTTAATGCTCCAAAAATACTTGGGTTGGTTTCCAACAATCCAAATAACCTTAGGGCTAATTCTTTAGTGACGCCTACTTCCGGTGGTGGGGTCTTTCATGTGAAAAGCTCGGGGATGCTTGTGGCAAAATTTGAATTAAGCCCCTAAAGGAGACCACTCTGGGCGTGGTTCAAGCTTTATTTGACCCCTTAAAAGATACCACTTTTAAAAACGGACAGACAAGTATGGACTACAGTGATTTTAATAATGCTAAAGACATAATGTGCCCACATACTAGAAGGTGCAAAAATGGCTAATGAACACAGATATAGTTTCCTTGTTACCTGTGTTTTCTGTTCCGGCTGGGATAAATGATACCGCTACAATAGAAAGTCCTACAATGGTCATAAAGACTACTGTCGTCTTTTTACGGCCAAACCTAACAGAATGGAATAATAATTAAACATAATCTCCTCGTGTGCAAGTGTTTTGTAAGTGTTCTTGCTTTCCCATAGAGGCGATGTACTGTATCCTTTCAGCATAACTGGTGCAAAGGTAGATGTGAGACCCGGTGTATTGATCCCGATTTTATTCACGATCCGACAAGTAGAGTTGTCGATCCAGCAATTGCATCTCTTTAGTGAACGCTAAAGAAGACATGAAACGCGGAAAGCATTTACGTACACCTCGTTGTATATGCGTGAGGTGCGAACAGTCACTCGCCGACACAGACGCCGAATTTCACACACTCGGACGAAAACTAGACTGTGCAAGCTTACAAGAGCTGCTACAGTTCTGGCCCCAGTTGTTCGAAGGTTGGATAACGCTATCCAGTGGGTAAGTGTTAACAAAACAAATTACACTATCCGCTGGAAAGTGATTTATCCGGTGGATAGCGTTATCCACCTTTTGAACAACCCGGCCCTGGAATTTTACACAGTGGAGAGGCTCACCTATTACAGTTGTCAATGGCTAATACATGCGAAGGCACTTCCACCAAGCTTGTTAACGCAAAGTTCAGATAGATGATACCACCAAATTCACCTGAGCTCAAAGAGAACCCGTAATACAATACACCATGAACAAACCTGAAATACAACAATAAAAGATAAGTTAAGTGGAAACCCTTCTGCGGCGGGGAGTGACCGCTGACTTTCTTTAACCACTACCTTTGTTTTAATCGAGGAGGTTGTAGTTTGTGTTCTTTTTGATGCTCATTTGGTTTGTAAAATTGTAGTGAATATATGCCGTATTTGAATGCACCGCGCGATAATTACTAATGTGGGATTATGAAGTTAAACACCCGGAGTGGTCAAGACAAGCACCAAGCCCTCTCTCAACCCCCCTTAACCCCTCCTCCCCCACCCTCCCTCCAACCAACTCATCTCTCATGCTCTCTTTGTAACTAAACACGAAGACGCTTTTATTGCTTATTTTCATTGTCACGCCATCAAAAATGTAAATCGCAACCATTCAATAAATAAAAATCTGAGATATGATAGATAATTTATATATAGATTTTCTCCAAGTTTTAGGTCTGTGCGGTCATTCTTTGGCACATTATTCGGAAAAGTGTTTCACACAAATTTATAGAGCTTTATAGGGAGAAGCCATGTTGGTGCTCCTTGGAGGGGCACCAACATCGCGGCCTGTAAGTAACAGAAACATCTGTTACTTAAAGAAACCTTTAAGTTCTTGGAGGGTCTTACATCTGATGAGACTAAAACTTCAGAAGGATTGATAACTTTTAATTAAAAATAAATGATGACGTCACATGAAAACCGGCAATTACAAGGAAATTGTCACTCACCATGCATACAACTGAATGATTGACAGTTTGGCCAGTTTCCATGTTTTCAAGAGATCCAAGAAACCCTTTTTGGCTGTGGTCTCTGGGACTTGAAGTTCGTCGCTTGGCATGTCGCTGTTGTTGACCCTTGCTACGTTCATCAAGATTTCTCGGGCTTCTTCTTTGCGTCCGTTCACGAGCAACTATCGCACAGATTCTGGAATAAACATTCGAACAAAATTCAGGTTTGCCTTCGCAGATATCCCTGTAAAGGAGCCGCGGGCTGTCAATAAATCAACTTCGTTCCCAGGCTGCCTTTCCTCTGCCTTACCAAGGAAGGCAGATGGAAGAGAGCCTGGGAACGAGGCTGTCAATAAATGAGTTAAGAACGAACGAGCACTTGAGAAGTGACTTTTTTTATTTGTTCAATGGTTATCTCGACCGCATGGTGAAATAAAAACGTATGTACCAATCAGTCTCAGTCGATCATCGTCATCAGAATGGAATTTTCTGGTCCAGTCTCATATGGGGAAGAATTAAACCCGGAACGGGAAGTCTCTTTTAACCCTTTAGGCCCCAATAGTAATCAGTATAAAATTTCTCCTTGCAGTAACAAAAGTTTATCATTGGAAACGGTTATGAGAATTCAGGATATGATCACCCAGAATAAATTTCTTGACAGTTTGACAACTTCTTTCAACTGCTGCTGCTGCAATAAACGTATACGGATTCCAAAGGTTAATTTATATTTGATGTTGGCGGGGATCAAAAGGGATTACTATTGTTTTACTGGTGATAAAGTGGTTTACGCGCTCAAGGAGGATTTCGTTAACTTACTTCCAAAATGCCAGAGTAAAAATCCACGGAGCTGATGATAAGATCATAAGTGTGCGCCAGTTACGAACAAAATAGGCGATAAGACCCAGAATCATCAGGGTTGCCGTGAAGTAAAACCAAACCACAGTCCCTGCCAAGGCTCGCTTCTCAGGCCAACCAGTTCGGTAGCTAAAACGAACATTGAAAGGAAACAGCCAGCCTCAAAAATTCCGACTATGAAACGACACAAAACGACGATCCAGAAGACCTTTGCAAACGCCATTACAAATGTGACGAGCAGTACAACCAACAATGAAGGGAAAAGAACACTTTTGCCGCCATATTTGTCGGCTACAAGGCCAAGAACGATAGCAACAACTGCCCAACCAAAAAACAAGATGGCGTTTGTTAGGCAGACCAAGAAGCCAAGACTGCAGATCAGTCAAACTGAAAAAACCATCAAGAATTATGTTTAAAAGCCTTTTGCAATGCTAACAAAATAATCATTAAAAAAGCGTCGAATCTCTTTCTTGTTTGTAATCACCG